CCAAGGATTATTCCTTAGGAATCTTCGTCTCTGCTGCAATCAACGAATTCATGTCTAATTTCGGGGCCAGAAACCTAGAAAGTGAACGCGGCGAGGGGTTAACCAATCACGGCTACACGATGAAGCCTCTACGAAAACCCCAAAAAGGACAAAGTTCTGGGAGCTTCCAGAACAGCTGAACACGGGAAGGGCGGTGAGCCGGGGTAAGGCAGGGAAGCTCTAGGCTCCGTCCCCTGCACCTCGCCCCACGTTTCTCCCCATCCGTACGCTTTGAAACATGCTTTACGGTTAACAGGCGAACTTCGGCGTTTCTCTGAATTCTCTGCCCCCCTCTAGCGAATTCTTAAATAATTCGACCCAAGGGGGGACCCCCAACTGGAAGCCTGCTGGTAAGAAGTTCCGGAAGCCCGGACTTTCTACTGGTGTCTGAACGAGGGCGCAGTCCTGGGGAACGGAGCCCTCACCCTGTGGGACCCGATGCTGCCTCCGGGTAGATCAGGTCGCAGCTGAGCCGGGTTGGAGGGACGCCAGCTGCTGTCCCCTGCAGAACTGACTGCTGATGGGGAAAAGCCTCTACACGGTTCTTAGTGGCCAGAGCTCACGGAAGTTGGCTGCCGTGCGAGAGCAGAGGAAAAACACTCTGTGTGTTTTCCTACTCGGCCTCGCTTAATGCTGCAAGCTGCTGTCCTCTTATCACCCTCAGTCAAACCATGCAGAATCCTCCCCTCCCTTGCTGATTGACAGCTTTTACGCATTAACACACGCTTCCCGCTTCCGCTCTCAAAGTTAATTCCTAGTCATCAATGCTCTCTGGGATTCGGTCTCCATGCTTAGGGCACAAAGGAAGCCTCCTGTTGGCATTACTTATGCCAGAGATCACAAACCGGCTGATCCCAGACCTATTTTTTTTGGGGGGGTGGGGATAAATTAGTTGTTGACATGGAAAGTTGAAACATTTCAGGATCTACGGGAAAACTCAAAGAAATGTCAACGATGAGTTTTTAACTCACATGTAACAACAGCCTGCAACCCTCATAATCCCCTATCGAGACTTGAGTGTCAGTCATTACTTAAAAATTTTTTTTTTTTTTTTTGAGACAGAGTCTCGCTCTGTCACCCGGGCTAGAGTGCCGTGGCGTCAGCCTCGCTCACAGCAACCTCCAACTCCTGGGCTCCAGCGATCCTCCTGCCTCAGCCTCCTGAGTAGCTGGGACTACAGGCACACGCCACCATGCCCGGCTAACTTTTTTCTATATATTTTTAGTTGCCCAGACGACTTCTATTTTTTTTTAGTACACATGGGATCTCGTTCTTGCTCAGGCTGGTCTCGAACTCCTGACCTCGAGTGATCCTCCTGCCTCAGCCTCCCAAGTAGCTGGGACTACAGCCATGCACCACCATGCCTGGCTAATTTTTTCTACATATTTTTAGTTGTCCAATTAATTTCTTTCTATTTTTAGTAGAGATGGGGTCTCGCTATGTTGTCCAGGCTGGTCTCGAACTCCCGACCTCGAGCGATCCTCCCTCCTCGAGCTCCCAGAGTGCTAGGATGACAGGCGTGAGCCACCGCGCCCGGTCATTATTTATAACTCTTACGCTGTTGCTTTTCTCACCCCCGTCCATTTCCATTATCCTATAGCCATTTAAACTCGTGATCCCTGCTTTATAGGGTTACGTGTCCACGCCCTATTTTGCATCGCCCTCTTGTTCAAATCCCACACTTGCAGAGACTGCTAGAAAACGGCTTGAAAACATGCACCGCCCTAAATGCACTGCGTTTCCTACTCGTTTGCAAAAACACCCTGCTTTATGGAACAGTACGAATCCATCCCTGGCATTTAATAACAGCCAGGTACACGGAGGAGAAAGCCCAATAAGACAACTTCTCTCTTTCCTTTTCCTTGTCCTTTGCCGGTTCACAATGTCGCGCCTTCTCATAGCGCATTACACTTTGCAAAGCGCTTTAAGACGCATGAGAGCTCATTAGCTCCTCTTAAGGATCCGGCGCGGGGTTGGGGGGGGAGGGGAAAATAAATGCAGGGCCCTTATTTTCCTGGCGTTAAAGAGGAGACAGAGTTGCTCAGGGATGCACCGGACGTTTAGTGCATTTAAACGAACGCTTTGCAGCGCCAGGCGCTACGAACGCCGGGTTCCCGGAAGACAACCGGAAACGCACACAAAAAACGTGCCCGTGACTTTTAGGGTCTAGTGAGGACGATAAAAGGATGCATCAGTGGGATAAGTCGGGGAAACATGAAAATAGGAACTGAGTGACGTCACACACGAGGCGGAAGACCCTTCCCTGGCCGGGCGGGTGACCCTGCTGACCGGAAGTGGCCCCGGCGCGGCGTGCGGGACCCGCAGGTGCCCCAGGGTCCCCGAGGCCGGCGCCGGGGCTCACACGGGGCTTCCAACGCGGTCCGCGTCCCCGTCCCTCGGCCCCTACTCACGCAGGTGCCGCCCGCCCGCGACGGCGCCGCTGGACGCTCCCGGCCTCGAGGCCCGACTGGCGGCCCCGCCCGATATGGGCGAGCGATACGATTAGACGCCGCAGGGACGGCCTGGGCCGGCGTCCCGCGCCCCGCGGAGGAGGAGGGAGGGCGCTGGCAGCGCCTCAGAGGCGACAGGTGCTCGGCGTCGGACGACCCGGGCAGCCCGGCGCCTGCGCTGCCTTTCGCACGCGGGCTCAAGATGGAGGCGGCGTCCCCGCGCGCCGCTCTGCGCCTGCGCACGCTCTCCCGTGCGCCACCGCGCGGCCCGCGCGCCGCTCTGCGCATGCGCGCTGCGCACGCTCTTCCCGCGACGGCCGCGTGGCGGAGCGATTCACAGTCTGCGACGAGCCGGGGGCGAGGACACGTGGCCGACGACGATTTGCAGCTCGGAGTTTTGTAACGAGTCTTCCGTTTTCTCTTTTTAATTTCAGAACGGACCGAAAAACCCCGTCTGTGGACTCATGAATGTGCGGTTCCCCGGAAGTAACGCGGTCAGGTCGCACGTCACGCGGCGTTCTGGTGTGGTTTTCTTTCGGGTCCTGTGTTTTTATTTTCGGCATTTGGGGCGTCCGCTTGTGACTTTGGGTCGTTTGTCGCTCGGGGGGCGGGAGGTTGCGCGGCATCCAGAGCAAGGACTGGGCGCCTGTCCCCGGCACCGGGCTGGTGCTGGGAGGTGAAGTCTTCCCTTGCGTCCTAGGGGTCCCTGTTATGTCCCAGGGTTCTGGAGGCTAATTTGGATTCTGGGATCTATCACGGAGTATCTATTTGTTTATTCTCAAGATATCTATTTGCCAGATGATTACTAAGTGTTAATATTTATCAAATCCCCTGATTTGCCAGAAACGGAAGTAAGGGATGGGTGTCTCGAATATATTATATACGAGTTCGCGCTTCTTTTAAATTTTTTTTTTCTTCTCCCCCGAGACAGAGTCTCGCTCTGTTCCCTGGGCTAGAGTGCCGTGGCCTCAAGCCTAGCTCACGGCAGCCTCCCGAGAGGCTGGGTTTAAGAGGTCCTCCTCCCTCAGTCTCCCGAGTACCTGGGACTACAGGCATGCGCCACCGTGCCCGGCTAATTTTTT